TATCAAACTTGGTTCATTTCGTAAAAAAATCGGTACACAATGAGAACAAACATCATAAGTTTTCTAAGCCGTTCAATAATCTCGCAGATCGTGGTTTATCGGGTCTAAAACCACTCGGCTGCGCCTCGTGTTTTATACCCGATAAAACACTCCTGCTCGTTTATTAAACATTACATAATAACTTATGGCAGCAGCCACATGCGCTTATTGAGCGCCTATTTTTAGTGTTACTACGCGTCCGGTCGAACTCTTGACCCCTTTTCAGCTTTATCTGTATGACTAGGTACATAGTGGTTTTTCCTGATCGTCGGAATGTGAGTTCCTCATTCCACAGTCCTTACACTACATATTTTCTAAAATATTGTGTGTTGTTATCTCCTATGCTACGAGGATTTCCTTCCTTCCTCCCTCCGTAAAAAGCAACATTTTTGAGTGAAAAGCGTCCCCAGTTAGTGCGAAAGCGCTAGAACGACTAAATACGTAAATAAAGAGATTTATTTTTTATTTAGTTTATCTAGTTTAAAGGATTATCAAATGCTAAATTAGTATCTTTACGACTTCCGCCCGCATGCTTCTGCACTGAGGACTGCTGCAATCTTTTCAGTGTATCTTAGTGAATACGACTGAGATAAGTGCACATATAGCGGGGATGATAATGCTGGCCATCAAGCTTGAACTGGCGTTACAGTAGTCACCTGAACAGCAGTGCAAGGAACAAGTCACCGGGTTTCCATTTAGCTGGCCTTCTCTGCACATTTTAATGTCGTTTTTGTCACAAGTCTTGGCACATCCCTTGGCATAGACACTGGTTGTTCGTCCAGTATCCTTATCTTTAACTGATGCCTCAACCTTGATGCAATTCGTTAGAGTAGGGTCTGCGCATGTTCCTTTTTCGCTATTTGCCTTACAATCATCCCATGACTTGTAATTCGGGCCACATGCATAGCATTTTAATGCCGTTCCTGTAAAAAGAGACCGAAGGAGAGTAAACACAACTGAGTTCTCGTGGTTATATTTTTCACTAACTCTTTTACATATTCGCTCTATGGTTTATTATTTAGATGTTGTTAGCAATAATACGCATGCGAATCGTTATTAAACAAATTAAGAAGCRAGACTCTCAAAATAACTTTTTTATCGTTTAGTAACTACTAGATTTGCTAATATGACAGTTCATTAAAACAACTTTTCATGGTAACAGAAAGTTCAGTAGAATACATAAACTTACCAACAGCCAAGACTGAGGACAGGATGAGTAGAGCGTAGATCCCTGACATGTTTGCTGTATTCTAGTCTAGTGAGCTCAACTTGAATGACCAAAAATGAAACAACACTCCTGCCAGCGCCCTCTTAAAGACACCAGCTGTCACTAGGTGCAGCTATTTCATTGGCCTGAATGGTTTGAGTGGTGTCAAATAGCCGAGTCCCCACCTCTTTTCTATAGACGAATGCACATACGCTTTGCAATATGAAGGAAGGAGAGGGAGAGGGGTGTTTTATCGCGTCTCTCAGCTCAAACAAATTAGCCAACCAGCGAACAATTTTGTTCAGTCCAATGTTCGATAAACAACAGCTTTTATTTGTTCGAAATTAACGGAAAATAATTCACATCCGAGTGGAAAGATTCGCCAAATAGAAATAATATATCTCGTCGTTGTTGGTGGAAAGTATTTCGTTTTCACAAGACTATTAAAATTGTTTTTATTGATGTGGCACCGAGATACGAGTCCAGTGGTGACTTGGAGAGATCACTATACTGACATGTCATTGCGATCATGATGACGATCGACCGCATCACACGAGTTTTACTTTTTGTTTCGAACAAGAAAGAAGAGAATGTGGCGTGCCCTTAGACTGGGACTTTTGCCAATGTTGAAAAAACGTTCTAAAACTCATGAATATTTAATGAGGAGAAAACAAAGCAAATCACTACTGTGACGGTGGTTTGGAAATGTGTTCTTAATTTGCATTAAATTTCGTAAACTTTTTCTTCGATTTTCTCCGGCTGCGCCTCGTTTTTCAACTCACTTTTCGGTGTTTGGAAATCGGAGGAAGAACTATCTCGCGTGTTTGAAATATTACTTAACTATTGGAATGCGTGGAGTGTTTTTCTAATAGTTTTATCTGATAAGTTAATAGGAGTGGCATGAGGTCATATCCTAATCATCAATATTAGCTCCTATTCACGTACTCATAGTATAGCCCATATAAATACGACAATTTAGGGCAGTAAAAGGACAGCAGAAGTCCTAGCGTTGCGGTTCGCCCCAGGAAAAGTTAGCCTTGCCCTAGCCTGCAGAGCAGGAGTTCTTGTGATGTATTTGAGGAAGAATCGGGGTTTTTGGATTCCGGTTTCGACTACGTGCCCGTGAGGAAAATGGGAACTAGTAAAAAAAAGGGAACGCCGCCTCCCCCTTCGGTTCTTTTTTGCCAAGTTTCAATTCTCGCTCATTCCAAGGTTCCCCCAAAACCCCGGTTTTTCCCAAGACCCACAAGAACGCCTGTTTGCAGGCTAACCTTGCCATGTCAGTGCGCGTCGTTCCATTTTAACCCATTTGTAAGTATGTCGTTCTCATAGATTTCGATAATAAGGCTTTGCACTCAAGTTTAGCTTTCGTGACTCGGAAACATGTTATGTTTTAAGCGAGCAATTCTACTCCGGTGACAATTTACTAGTTTAGTTTCACGTTAGCGTTTATTGTCAATGCGTTTTTAGATTTAGTCGTTTAATTATCCTTTTCATGATGCATTTCCATTGTTGTCGTGTGAGTAACTTTTGTATATTGGTTTCCTTAATAAATTCTTAGTAAGTCCACACCTTGCATCTAGTATTCGTTCTCGCTTTGCCTCATCATAGACTTGAACGGTTTATCTTTGCCATCTTGTCGGCTGGTGTCAGATCATGTTATATATATTTCTAGCCTGCAAAGCAGGCGTTCTTGTGGGATTGGGGAAAAACCGGGGTTTTGGGGGAACTTTGGAAATTTGGAACGAGCGAGACTTGAAACCGAGGAAAAAAGAACCGAAGGGGTGGGGGCGTTCCCTTTTTTTGCTAGGTCCCATTTTCCTCGCGGGCACGTAGTCGAAACAGGAACCCCAAAACCCCGATTCTTCCTCAAACCCATCACAAGAACGCCTGCTCTGCAGGCTAACATATTTCCAATTTATATATCTTTTTAGCGTGTTGCGCTCAGATGGCCCGTTTTAGAGTAATTCTTTTTCATTAACCATTGGATTCCACTAGTGTGCGTCTTCCACCGGTTACACATATCAATGAATAATGTTTCCTTATTTACAAAAGCTTTAACATTCCTTATGCCTGCTATAGATGAAGAGACTCTCTCAGCACTGTTGCCCACACGACAAAATTGAACTCTATTACTAAAAAGATAAGATTTCATAAGACTTAGCTCAGTGTTTTTGATTCCGTATAAACTGAGTTTATGGTTTACAGTGTCGAATGCCTAAGACTGAGACTGAGACGGAGAAACCGCAGGTTTTTTACTAGTAACCGCTTGGATTCGGTTGTATTTTCTATTTTTTGTTTTTACTCTTATAACATGCTGCAATGTTCTGATAAGAATAAAATAATACGGATTTTTCTTAAGCTGAGGGGAACTATAAGAATATTTTTACTTTTTAAATCTTATTTCCATAACAAGTGCATCTGATCATGAGTTGCCATTTTGATTGTAATACAGTCGCTTCAACAGAGAATCATCAGCGGTCCTTGTCAATACGTTTTCATGACGTCACTGAGCACAGCCATGGCAACTAGAGTTATTTCGCACCGAAAGAAAACTAAAACAAAAATATAGAAAAAGAATTTATAAACTGAACATCGTTAGGCTGCCTGACATTACCCGGGATTACTATTAGGCCTTGGAATTTTAAATTTCTTGAACTCGTTTTTGCTAAAAAGTTCTGATATTTCCTCTGGTAATAGCTCACACTTGAAGATATAAAACTCGTCTAAAATTCCTTCCACTGGCTTTTTTGCGCTAGGGTTACCCATATCTGCGCACTTCCAGTTATCATTCAGTTTTGGCGTGCTTTGTGGTTTGGATGTCTTTGTCTCATTAGAAATTTTTCCATTGATGAACAGCCTTGCTTTGCCGGTGGACAGGCGATATGTGCCTGCTATATGGTACCACGTGGAGTTTTTCATAGGTTTACCTGGTAAAATAATAGAAGAATCAAAACCAGCATAGTATACGTCTTCAAAATTTGACCTGCTGTCTCACAAAACACTGTTTTCACGGGTGCTACAAAGATCACAAGATATTTATTTACCTTGTATTTCTGCAAGCATACTTACCACACCTAAATGAAATATTTTGAAATGTGAAGGTAATAGGACTACATGCTGTCCAATTTGGAAATAATTGGATGCTGAAAAACTTGCCATCGAGTATCACGTTCGGTGCATGGATGTTTCGTTTTAAGGTTCTATAAGGTTATCAGTTCTCAAATAGATACTAAGAACTTAAAACTCGATTTCTCTTTCTCACTACTTAGATCTTATTAACCGAGCGGTAGGTCTGTATGGGATAATCTTGACCGAGGTCGGAATGTACAGACCGAGCGCAGCGAGGTCTGTAGCCGACCGAGGTCAAGATTATCTCATACAGACCGACCAAGCTCGGTTGATAAGAGTTTTATTATATGACCACTTTTCATTGAAAAGGAAAAAATGTTTTCACCGGAGAATCTAGGCCATATAATAATCATAATTATTATATAATTACCAATGAAATATCTATTTTTCTCTATTTCGAAAAATTGATATCTTCACACGTGAAAATAACATGTTATTTTCACGTGTGAAGATAACACCATTGCGATGGCTATTCAAAAGTACACGGAAAGAATTGCCTGAAAAAGCCAAAACATACTTCATTGATAATTATGTAATAAACAGAATATTACATGGCCGCTTTGGAGATAGGAATTTTATCTTCGAGTGTTGAAAATCTCTCACTCGTTCGCTGCGCTCACTCGTGAGAGATCTTTTCAACACTCGAAGATAAAATTCGTATCTCCGCGCGCCCATGTAATATCCTCTATTTAATAATTTCATGCTAAGATGTTGGGAAAAAATTAATAATTTCAAATAACTTTTTTATACATAATCATGCTCTCTGCTGCTGATTGGCTCAGTTTTCATTCTACATCATGATTGGTTAACTCTTGATTAGCTGAGGTCATAATGCTAACTGATTCAGCTGTCTGCTGATTGGCTATTATTTTCACGCAACCGAAGTGATTGTTTTATTCGAAGTGAGTATCTGCTAGTAAGAGTACGTTGTGTCAGTCTTACCTGCTGCAAGGCTAAAGATCTTATCTCCGTCTTTGTTCTTTCGGGACCACTTGACAATACCATTATCAACTGTGATATGATAGGCACCTATGTTATACCTGCTTGTATCACCACATGTATAGAATATCTCTTGAGCGCCTTTTATCTCTGACAGCTTCAGCCATAGGGCAATAGTGATAGCAAGACTAGGCCTGTTGCGAAAATGAATGACATCGAAAGAAACGCTGCCGTTTTTTGAAAGCTTGAGTGCTTTGCCGAACTTGCCTTTGTCGATGATTTTGGCTTCACCTTTCATGGTTGCTAAGTTACCGTTATTAGATTCGTCATAGATAGTTTTGCCTGTCACGTGATCGAAACTTTGATACGTAGAGATACATCCTGCGTCACCTTAAGAAGATAGATTGACAGTTAAAAAAAGAATGTCCATCCACCCACCTATTTATTTATTCCTGCTATTAGCTCTTCCATCCCAAAAATTTTATCTATTTACCCATCTCCTGTGATCCATCCCGCTAGTCCCATTCATTTACCTCATTTAGTTCATCTCATTTCATCCATCCACTCGCACCATTCTTTTATCTGTTTTCGTCCATTTCATTTCTACCATCCACTCGCGATCCCCATTCAAATAAAATACAAAAAAATCCACTCGTCCCATTCAATTATCTTATCTCATCCATCCCATTTTATCCATGCACTCCCCTCACCATATAATTATCTTATATCATCTATACATCCATCTATCAACCCATCCATCCACCCATCTCAACTTTCCTATATTATTCACTTCCCATCCATTCGTCTTATTCATCTAATATACCCATCTACCGCGAATATTTTCATCTAATCCTCACACATGTACTGAGATGATATTACATATAGTACCTGGACAGCTCATGGTGTTACAGAGTCTTGTGCTTGTCTTGTTTTTTAACATGAACTGAGTACCACCTCCACAAGTTAATGAGCATTCAGACCATACTCTTTTGGCTACGACATGCAAGATAACAGCATTAGTTTACGACACAGCAATCCTTGCTATACATTTACATACCTATGTACATGATAGGGAAATATTGTCTTCACCTTTCTCGCCTAAGTTGAACATTTTGGGAGATTTTCTACTGGATTGTACAGAAATACAATCCCTCTTCCTCCTAGACTATTTCCTGATCCAGATTCCCGAATTGTCCGAACGGTCCCGACAGCTGTTGCCGGGGCAGCTGAGTGAAGAAGAGGTCTCATCTGAAACTACTTTTATTAAGAAAGGGTTATACTTACTATTGTCAAGTTGTTGACCGGTGATATGGTTAATTTCCAGGCAGATTAATATCAAAACACCAAAGCAAAACAGATCCATCTGTCTATTTCTGCCTGCAGGAAAAGTCTACCTGTGGAATAAAAGAAGTGTATTTTCCAGGACCTCAATTTTTTAATATGATATGAATGAACAGATTTCGCAATGACGACGAGGTGGCACGTTCTTTATTGTGCGCTCGCCGTCACTTGTACGTCGCCTTCCGAATCTGACCAGTATCAAGATAAGTACAGGACGGCGTATTAGTAAACCGGTTTTTCGGTTTGTCGCTTTATTATTCAGTGTCACACGATAAAAGATAAAAGATTGTCAGTCCAATACAGTTTGTCAGTTTAAAACCAATGTCAGTTTAAAATCGGATTGATTGATTGGATTGTTCATGTTAATATAGGCGTGTTATTCAATGCACTTGTCATAAGTGTCATCACCACTAATGACCGATCATTGATAGAAGCTTTACGCTAATCCATCTTTTAACCAAATGAATTTTCGAAAACATTGCAGTAGCCTGAGTATCAGGCTCTCCGAGTTCCTCCAGGCCCAGGCTCCCTACACCCAAGGACTGATATTCAGGATTGCAGCAAATCCAACGTCTTAAAATATTCAATGAGATTCTTTATTTCTTTGGACTGACTTCAATATTGAGTTTTTAAGAAACCATAATTCATATAAATTTACGTTAAGAAAATAGGCTTTTAAACGCAAGACTACTAGCTCATTAACTAGTTCATTTGGAACAATTATTTTAATTATGTGATAATAGGTGAACTGACTCAAAAAAATGGTGTAAGTGTCAAGATAGTAATGAGTTACATCTACTCACCCCATTGATTGTTCTTCGTTCATTTAGTAAAATCCAATGAATGATGTTTTCATCTTTTGATCAGGTTGTTTATGCCATGTTTGTAAAGAAAGGAAGGAAGTCGACTTGTGATGGCATGGGATTCGAGGCGATTCATGTCCAACCTGCTTATACCAGTCAAACAAGCAGGTGACGTAACGAGCAGCTGGCAAATTGAATCCATTTGATTAAAAAAAGGCTTCAAGCTTGGCTGAGAATTTCTATCAGTGCATGAAGTCTCAAGATGGTGTCAGCGTTGGGCTGTTGTCGCATGTTTCTGTCCCCCCTTTCGTATCACTGAAGACAAGAATCAGATTGTGTATGAGAGTCCCCACATGCTTGACTGGTGCACAAAATCTACATTAAGAAAGATTGAGAGAAAGAGGGATTAACTATTGATGATAAAGTGTTAATCAAATATCCCAAACACTTTAGTGTATTACATGTAAGAGACTCTTAGAACATTTTTTATCGACAATTAGAAAACTATCATAGTCAGTATAAAGTTCAAAGGTGCGAAGCCTAAAAATAAAAAAACCTGAATATCTACTGTAATTAATCCGCCAAATTATGCCATGCTTCTTCCGCAGATGAATTCAAGGAAAAAGCAAGCTACGAACATAAGGATAAACCGAACAAAAATAAAATTTCAAATCTTAAGAATGTTATCTAATTTACACTTTTCTATGTAATTTGACATGCAACATAGTTAACTTATGAATGGTCACGTGATTTCTTAGCGTTACCCAAAATGGCGGGAAAYAATCTTTGATCCAAAACGTTTACAATCACCTCAAGGAAAAAATGGATAAATCACTTATTCTTTTAGAGGATGCATACTTCAGTAACAAATTTGTAAATTCGTTTTTGAACCAGAGCATACGGTCCAGTTAAATACTGTTGGCTGACCACGTATGACTACTGGCTCGCATTGGCTCGCTTATCAAGTTATCAATTCAAGCCGCTCTATAGGTGCTGCGCATTCCTTCCCATTCGATGTAAAAGGACAAAAGACTTGACGTCTGCCATGTTGGTTGAAATAATAAAAGATAAACCAAGACCAAGTCTTTTGTTACTGAAGTCATTGATCAACATGGCGGCTATGACGTCACGTGATGCATTTTAAGACAGCGAGTAAAACATACCTTCTGTTTTGGTAAATGAAAGCTTTTTTTAAAAAAAATCGTCCTTTTTTCACGAGGCTAGCACTTAATAGCCAGTGGCTAACAAACCTGTGGCCCAAATTCCGTGATTGAATTGGAATTTAGGAGTTGATTTTTGCGGAGGGAGGAAAACCGAAGAACTCGGAAAACCCTCGAAACACAGGAGAGAACCAACAAACGACTCTACTCACGTACGACATCGAACCCGGCGGGACTCGAACTCGGGTTGCATTGATGGGAGGCGAGCGCTCACACCGCTGCGCCACCCGTGCTTCCCATTTTTCCATTGTTTGACAGTTGTTGCTTGTTGACGTTGGTTTTCAGCTAAAAGTTTATAAAGAAAAGTTGGAAAACAAATCAAAAGAATCATTCAGATAATAACATGGATGCTCACAAATAAAGATGTTTATAGCTGTGTATATATTGATATTTTGGTGATTTGTTTGTGTTTTGCTGGCCTAGTTTTCTCAACCACGTTTTTTATTTTACTCTCACTCATTTGTAAAAACCAAGTTTCTTTGTTTTCCATGTCTTTTCTCTTTATTTTTACGCAATCATATTTGATAAACTGGTTGGATATCACTTCGGACGGAGGATATCGTCTGATATCCGTCCTGCACGTGACCCATTTGGACCAATGACAGCGCGCGAACATTTTTCGTTAGGTTATGCTCTAATATATAGCTTTGAATATCTTCGCCATGTTTAAACAAAGGTATGAAAAATAAACTTGTATTCCTTTGAGTATGCTGCAGTCACAGTAAATTAGTTTATCTCTGTTGTTACGTGATATGTTTCCTCACTACTAATAGTCAATGAGTTTATCTCTGTTGTTGCGCGATATGTTTCGTCACTACTCATAAGTAAACACAAAAACATAGTTTTTCTCGTTTCCTAGTGCGCGAAAAATTGGATCAACCTCGCAGTTAAACTTTGCATCCAAAAAAGAATTTTGAACTTTAAACAAAGGGAAATGTTGCCTAAACAAGTAAAAATTCTTAAAGAACTTTTGAATAAAGGTAGGGTGTCCCTACTGTTAACGCTAACTCTTGTAAATTTGTTTTCACTCCCCCATGGGGGAAATAAGACAAAAACTCGCCTTGTCCCCAGCAACATGACATTCCTACCACCTTCATGTATAAACTACGTCTTACGCAACGGTTTGCACCAATGTTTACAACTTTATTTGCTTCCATTGTTTCAACGATTTGGTTTGATATCCGAATTTGTCTTCCAAGTTCCTCAGTGAAGCTAGTTTATACATAAGCTGAGCTTAAAGTTTTTTGTTTTTTGTTTTTTTGTGTAGAACTATATTTTTTTGGCAAAACGTTAATAATCGTTATGAATTACTAATTTAGATACTTGCTGCATGAAATATAATAAAATATAATATGATATAGTAAAGGTCATCAGTGAAGCTAGTTCATACATAAGTTGGGCTTAAAGTTTTTTTGTTTTTTTTGTAGATCTATATATTTTTGACAAAACTTTTTATAAATTTTTCACAATCGTTATGAATTACTAATTTAGATACTTGAAGAAATGTAATTAGATTCGTTAATTTTGCTTTTCGCAGATAAATAAAAACGTTATTATCAACTAAAAATTGCTCGACTCATAAAGCAGAATTTGTCAGTGAAACTATTAGTTTATCTAGTTTATTCGCACACTGATATATATATTTTTGATTAATGAACAAATCTTAAGTATTGGACCCAATGTCTATGAGTTATAATTGATGTCATCTATTCTTGAATAAATAAGTCGAGAAAATAATTTTAGTTATAACAAAATCCAATTTGCCACGAACGAACACCATTAAACACATAAAAAGTCATAAAATTGTACATCTTTCACTTAATACATGCATCTTTAAGGATTTTGAGGAAATGCCTTAAAGGAAGACGAATCGAAATTAAAAATGAACTGAAGGATTATTCATTTATTATTTTGTGGATTTTATTCTATAATGAAAATCGAACTACAAAATTTAGATTGAGAAAAAGTATGTTATTTTTATAATAGAAGTTGGCTTGGTAAATGAATGAGGAAGATCGTTGTCCTAGTTCTAGATTTATCAGTTTTTCCCCCCGATCATTATTTCGAAAAGGAAAGAAAAATCAACTCTCGGCAACCAATCAAAAATTAAAAATTTAAGTGCAAGGTTTTGTGGCTAAGACGTCATGGCAGGGCAAATTACGCTAACAAAATAAAAATTTACGAAACCACAATTATATTATTTTGTAGAGTTACAATCAAATAAGTATATTAAAACAAAATACGTTTAAAACTCGAAAAAACGTTGTTTATGAACTTAGGGCTTGGGGTTTTAAAAGGAATCAGGGTGTAAGTGAAAGTAAAAATTTGTCAAATTTTTGACAAGAAACTTTTGAAATTGTCAATAAGAATTAATTATTCCCGATATAACTTGACTTGTAATCTTTCAAAAAAGTGATTGACACAGCAGGACATTTAAAGGGTTTCTATTTATTATGGATTCTTGTCATGGTACTATAATTTGCCAAATAAATAAATTTACGGTTGGCAGGGCAGCGATTCGATGTGCTAGGGTAAATCAACCTTAAATCAACCTAACCTAAGCAATTAAGTCTTCACACTCCAATGAATTCTGGATGAGAAAAGTCCACATTCTTGAATAGGGTATATATCGCCACATCAATATTGAAAAAAATGGGACAATGACGACATATATGAAGGTGAATTAGTTAGTTAGCTATTTTTTCTTGTACTCTTTTGTATCAGAACATGTGCGCCGGATTTTAAGTATGTACGAGACTTTATTTCGTGCATTCTTTTCCCAAATAACAGATGCTTTGTTGAAACTCGTTAATTTTTCATCAGACCACCAGCAGCGCTAGCATAGGTAATCAACAGAGCCACAGTCATTGGTGGAAACGAACTCCAAGTATATTTACACTCTGGTTTTGGTTTCAATCCCTCGAAACATTTCCAACACCAACAAGTAATCCTTTGAAAGCCTTTGTTTTTAAGGCGAGTTTCAAGTACGTGGACATTACTTACATAAGTTCTACTCTCGGTCTATCGGCGGCTTATTGATTTCTTATAATACGGGGAATTTTCAACAACTGTAAGTAGCTATATAATTGTGGTTTTATTCATACTGTAGATAACGTTGATTCAAAACAACTAAAGACGTATTTAAAAACAAAGCATATTTATCGGGTACTTTTTGGAACTTGTGCTCTTGATAAGAAAACGAGGAATGCAGTAAAGAATTATTCTTGGCTTAAATATTTGACCGAATCTTAGAAATATTAAGAAAGGGGATATGGATTAATTGCTCTATCTTGACATGCCAATAGACAAAGCACGTGTTTTTAATGTTCTTAATAATATCCTAATAGATATTTGTATGTGTCTTAAGGACATTGACTGTCTTATCTCTTGATATTCTTAAGCTTGCAGCCCCCAAAACTATAAAAAACGCACTTAATTAGGAAACCTTCTCGCCATAAAATGCCAAATCATCAAATATTTATAAAAATAATTTGACATGACTGTCAATGTGATACATAATTGATGACCACATTACCAAACAAAGAAAGCAATTTTGACAGTACTCTATGAATAATTGAAATTTCATATTGATTGAAATCTCTTTACACTTTACCTAGAATCCTAAATTATTCATTTCGTGGGGGCTTTCAGTTTAGGAACAAGCGCTGGAGACATCGAAAATGTGAATTCAAAGGCGGGAAACCACGACTCGCGGCTTGAAACAGCTCGACTTTATAGTACCCTATTCACTACAGTTTCTTTTTCGGATAATTAATCGAAAAACCAATTCAATTCTTTTGTTTTGTCTCGGTTGAGATGATAACACGACGAGTGTGGAGTTCCCGCCATTTTTAACCCAATCAGGGCGCTCCATGACTGCTGAATGTTTTTGTTCAAATCTGAGCCACGTGACAGCAAGCAAAGGGAATAACACAAGAGCAAGCACGTGTCGCGTTTATACGGTCGAGAAGTTAGTTTTTGATGATAGCTTTAAAGGTTCAAACATCCTGGGACAAGATATTTAAACCATTGCGAACCAGCATAAATCCGCCTAAGGAATCGATATTATTGGACGATAAATCGGGAGCTTGATTTTTCTGGGTTTATTTTCTTTTGCTACAAGGTACAAGGTCAGTGCGTGGTTTAGTTGTTTTTAATAAGATATTTCATATACTTGGCCTTACGGTAGATTATCGTATATCGTCCTAGAGGGGAAAAAAATAATTTTTTTTTCAATATCTACGTAAATACCATACCATACTGTCTATTATTTATCTGTGTACCTTATCTTTATCTTAATTTCAAAATGTGTTAAAAGCATAGTGCACTGCGGTTTTAATTGAGAATTATAAATGAAAATAACACATCATAACAATATTATCCAATGTGAAGATTTGCTTATTAATAGTGTCCTATCTCGAAGGGTTTCTACTAAGCCTGAGACAACAGTTCTCGATCTTACTTTTGATATATTTTTAAGGAATCAAATAGAAAACCAGTTCTTGTCAAATACAGGAAGACTGATTCAGTTCTTTACTGACAACTTGTAATTCTGTTTTATTTCCGGGAGAGCTAGTGGAAATAGCTAAATCTTTAATAATTTTTCTCAATATTTCTTGACTTTTTCCATCGTAATGTTACTAACGCCATTGCTTTAAGGATACGATTATCGATACACAGAATGAAAACATTTAAGAAATCTTTTAATTACACCAGTCACGCCAGTTGAAATATTTATTGAAGTGGAAGAAAATGAAATAATAAAAAAATGATTGATGATTTTTTTGTTTATTTTTCAATCATCGAAGGAGGGCAGTTGTATTGATAACCTTAGTGGTATAAACACCGAGAGCTGACAATGTCAGTCAGATCAAGCGAGTTCAAAGTCTGCGACAGACTCGTTTAATAAAGACACCAAACTACTTGGTTCATCAACCTACATGGTTAATTGAAACTTTTAGGATTATGAAGTGCGGAACAGCTGGCCGGCAAAATTTTGAGTCTTAACGTCTGACGAGGAGTCCTGTTGTACGGTGAATGAGATCCGTGCGGTGAATGTTGCTATCACTTTAAGGTGTCTTTCTTTTTCTCTCCATATTTTCGAGCAAAAAAAAAACAAGAAAGAAATCTCATATACATGATTTCATAATCGTCAATCAAAGTCGAGCTGTAAGTCTTTAAAAATTCATTTTTCTTATCGATATAGATGCGACTAAAATGACATATATTTGAGAGATTTTCTTTCGATAATCCCCGAGATATGAAGTTGGCGAAGATAAGCAAAGGACTGGTAATACTGACAACCTCTGGGCTCTAGGATCCGACGAATTTTTCACCAGATTTGGCAGGTGGCTATACACGCTTGACTAAGCCATATTATAAATTATTCCACGGGTGTAAAAGTCTATTTGCATGCGAGCAACTAAGTGATTCCTATCACCTGTTAGCTCCAGTCTTTGGAGCATTATAAATTTATAGCCTAATCCATATTTGATGGCGCCTTGCATTAAGAATAAGCCAGTGTATTGGAACAGAACTTCGTAACAGCTAAGAACTGACCTTAACTTTATCTTCTTCAGAAGTGATCAAGACTAGTGGCTTCTTCGGTAACCAAGCACGCTATCTTGAAGACGTTTAGTATAGCGTAGTCAAGACTTCAATGTGAGGATTTCATTACCTCTACGATGAATGACGGTTCAAGAAAAAGCCCTTCTGCACACTACCCCTCAGGGCCTAGTACTTCTAAAGCCGATCCAGGGCAGGCTATCACTTTTGAGGACTTGTTTATATATCTTTATGGCTACACACCAATTCGTCTAGTTGACCCACTTCACCTTCAACGAGAACGGGCCAAACTCGCCGCTCAGGTGGACTGCGACAAAGGCAAGGAAAAACACTGTAAGTCAGTTATTAAGACTATTTTATTTTCTTACCAATATATTGACTGACAAATATCTAGCTGTATTAGATTGTAAGAGTATTGTTTTTCCGAGTTTATTCATGATGCTCCGCTCTCTTTCTCTCTGTTAATCCCATCTTACAAGGAATTTTTCTAAACTAGCTAAAAAACACGCCAGCGACACAATATTGCCACCCGCTATGGAAAAACTTTTCTGCGTTGAATTTTTAAAACTTTACTGATGAAGTATTTTGGTTTAGTTAGTTCATTTTCTACTTGGGATGAATAGGGCGATCCTGTGGTATTCATTCGCTGCTTAGAAATCATGAAAAGTTGATGGACCCTCCTGCTACTTTTTTTTGAAATACTCTGGTTAAATTAATTTGATATGAAGGAATAAAAAATCTCCTGGAACGAGTAAAAAAGACGAACTTATGGGATGATATATTATTTATTACTTGGTAACAATGTAAAAAAAAAACATTGATTACCCAAAAATCCAAAAAGTTTGGCTAAATTAGATAGGATATCTTCGTATGGAGATGCTAAAAAATACGAGGCAGGCCCTGGAACTATTTCAGTGTTGCTGTAATCTATTCGCGGTCCATCCAGCTTAGAACAAGTTCATGGCGTTTTGACCAAGAAAAAATTGCTAAATGATTTTTTTTTTTTTGAAATAAAAACAATAAGCTAAGCTTTACACAATAACATTTCCACAATGATGTGCATCAATCGGTTCTTACGCCTTGTAAGGTTCTCCTTGAGAAAATATCTCATTGCTTGACAACACATTTCAAATATTAAATTAAGGTCGTTCTCAAAGTATTTGCAAACGCAGCTCATGTATAGCTTTGTGTATATGGAAAATTAGTAGGTCAGGTTTTTAAGTGTAATTTAATCACTAAATTAATATTTCTCGAATCACATAAGACAGAATTGCGAGCAATTGAATAAAATAACATCTTAAAATCAGTAAGTCATGAGGAAAGTGAATAAATGTTTTCACACTTTCAATATTAATGGGATATACTTCCAGGTGATTTGAAATCTAGGAACGAACGTTTGTCACAGCGAAAGTTTCCAAGTGTTTTTCATTATCTCTTGATAAAACGAAATATTTTCCACCAACGACGACAAAATATGCTACTTCTAAAAGTTATTTGGTAAATCTTTCCATGGATCTGGTTTTTTTCCTATATTTTCGATTAAAAGACTTTTTTTTTTCGAGCCAAAAACTTGTAAATAGAAAATCTTGAACTACAAAAAAAACGTTTACTGATTGGCCAATTCGTTCTGCCTGATACAACTGAGATCACCTGATTGATCAAAAGAAAAACAACAGAAATAACGGGATATTTCGGAGCTCCCATCAAAGGTAGATAATGATAAATTTCCTTGTTGACACTATTACTGATATAGACATTATTGTAGGGAGTGTCCACTAATTGTGTTATAATCATTTCTCGAGGTAGTCCAAAGCTAATTGCGATCGTGTAAGCGATAACGATTATTACTTTGCCCTCATTTATATGTGTTTAAATGAACCGATTGGAACTAATACTTTAATTCCTTTGTCACTTTTCACTTTATTTAGATTGATAATTTAGTATTCTGTTACTTTCTCTGAACCAATTAAACCGACTGTGAACCTAACAGAATTTATTCCTTATTTTCCTGTTTATTTCTCGCTCTTTTGTAAAGGAGCTGGGAGAGTAAGTAAGTAGATAGTAATCATTCTCTAGCTCTGTTAATGATTCTTTCACGTCGAGATGAAACTATAATAAATTCTTCTCTCCACGGTAAACACAGAAAAACTAAACGAATCCTGGGGGAAAACCCCTTATCCCCCTCAGCAATGCTAGGCTGGTGTGTAAACCAACAAACAATTGCATGCACAGAAATTATATCCGAGCTGCATTTGTATTACTACCAAGCATCTATCAGCAGGGAAAACCCCTGTATTCACTTGCAATATATTGGTGCATAAGTTCGGTCTTAAGGATGAGGCGAATATTAAACAGCTCTTCTTGTGGTATGATTTTCAGTTCTTCAAGGTACTAGAATAGACAAGTGGGGACTTAAATCTCAGTCAAAGTGGAGCATTGTTTAGATACCATATGATATTCAAGTATTAATAGTTAATGATGTGAAAAAGCAACTCGGCTTATAGAGTAATCATGGGAAGCTAGTTAAGTGAATGACAACTTTCGGGTATTTTTTATGGGATTTATTGGATTGGGATTGTTCAGGTGAAGTCAACAATGCAGCACCCGCCTTGTAAATAGGAACACCTTGCTTTTCACCCGGAAATGCGTTCCTTTCATTTAAATGAATATTTATAACATACACATTCCTGGAATGACATTCTTGAAATATTAATAATAAATAATTTGAAAAAATTGTATTCGATAAAGGTTTTGCAACGAAAGTAAAGAGCAGATACTTACTATAAACTATAGTACTAGTCTTGGACTAAACAAAGACTATTTAGATGAAAAGTTATTGATATGGTTAGCTCACTCCTATCATATATCAGTTGCATTCCCCCTCTAGCCATCACGTTTTCAAAATCCTACTAAACTGATTTACTCCTTCCATCTGTGTATATATATGTTCGAAGATTTGAGTTATAATCAAGAACCTGGAAGATCCTGATAACAATAATAGCGCTTAGTAGACCTCCAAAGCTGTTTCGAAACTGTCGTTTGGGTATTTTTCACTTTCATCTTCTGCCACTCAGTTGTTTATCAGATGTTATCATCGATGCTCTTATTCACCTTATGGTGATTCCAACATAATTGCGAGTGAGTTTAGCGATATTTTAACTCGCTCGTATCTAGTCAAAAATACTCTGATATTTAATTCGTTTAAATTCGATTTTTTAAAAGTGATTTTTTACAATATTGTTCTCCTGTTCGCTTATAAATCGAGAGAGAGAGAAATTGAATAAAAGAATAAATGAGAGAGAGAGAGAGAGAGAGAGAGAGGGAGAGAGAGAAAGGACGAAAAAAGAAACAGAGAAATTAAGTGTTGATAGATGCTATCTAACGATTTTTAATGCAAGTTTTAATTGATTCACATCTATTGCCATCGGTGGTTTTTGTATTATTGTGTATGTATAACAAACTACCGTCATCCAATGATAAATATTAAGAGGAAATTTTTTTTAATAATGAGCAATAATGGCCAAAAGCGCCAAAAACTAGACCTTCGTATGAGTTTTGATCCCAATTTTCGTTTTGGGTTAACACTTAAAACCTATTTTTAACGGTTAGAAACTATGATAACCTGCTTGTTTGAAGCGGTATTTTCAATTGTACAAAGATGTTTTGTTGCATTTGTGTTAGAATTACATAGCTTTGTCAGGCTTTTTCATAAAGAAAATATATGGGAAATAAGCAAATGAAGGCCAAAAGCTCATTTTCAAATTTTTGCTTTGGGCTAACACTTTATTCCACTTTCATCGGTCATTCTGATTTCCACTTCCAAACAAGTTAAAATTTCTGAATAACAAGATTTTAGCCTTGTACAACAGCCTTTCTTCAAGAAAATATTTTTTGGCGCTCACCGCTTGATTACGAAAAGAATTCTCTCTTAATAGACAGACGATTACACATAGAAACTTTAACCACCACAACCCAAACTGAAGGACAATAAAAACTTACAAATTACCTTTTCATCTCAGCCATAGCGTAGACTTCCAGACTGATTCATATCTTTAATATTTATCATAATCATTGCCTAAACTCCTTGTCTTTAAATAATTTTGTAATATCGAAAAACTTATGATTTGTCGGCAAGTAGACAGGAATATATTTCAATATAAAAACTTGGGAATCCTGTGCGTCTAGTGTTTTAATAACCGGTGTCTTGCGAACCTATATATATTTCCGATGAATCTTTCTCATGACGGTAAAATATTAATTGGTAGTAATTGTCTATAGCAGCGATACGAGACTAATCCTTATGATATGCTGTTTATATCTGTTTTATCTATATTACATTTATAATTGAATTTAAAGTTTATTAATTTTTTTCGTTGAAGCGTTTATCAGTTGCCAATGCCTCTTTTGAATCATTAATAGCACGAACACTGGGCTCATTCCATGAGTTTAATCTTTTTAAAAAAATATATATTCTCTTCTTCTCTTTTCGCTCATTTTCTTTGGTATATTGATGAATTTATGTTTAGTTGTTGTTTTTGTTTTTTTTT